CACCTTTACCTGCCACTTATTCAAGGTGGGTTTATTTTGTTTTAGATATCAGTTACTTATGTTCAAACTAGAATCAAATAAAGCCAAGTTTAAAAACTCAACCTGCTCCTTTCAGAACGCCTCACAGAGACTTTAAGAGTGAACTCAAGCCCTGCAGTCTCAGCCCAGATGTTCCTGATGTTCCGAGTCCTCTTGCTGCGGATCTCATCCCAGCACCTGACGTCCCTCTGGCCTATAATGGTCACAGAACTTGTAAGTTTCCTTCCTGAGAGGGCCATGTAAGATCTAACGAGTTGTGGTTGTATGAAGATGTTGTCTTTAACTCGTTTGTTTAGGTACGGATATTTGCACGTTTAGAGAAATCTCTGCAGCCAGAGAAAGACGTCTCAAAGTGAGTTTTTTTTTTTTTTATCATTATCTATGTTTCACAAATGCACTAAAGCTGTCATTTTATAAGTCCTGTGTCTGTGTTTCCAACTTAGGTTGCCCAAAGTAGTGCGTGGGGCACTTGACAAAAATGGACCACTGAACTTCTCCAATGCAGAGTTGGACATGTACCTGTCAGCCTGCAAGTTTCTGGACACTTCTTTGGCCTTTCCTCCAGAGAAGATGCCCCTCTTTCAGATGTAGGGAACTGCAAAACATGCTTTTATTGTAACATCAGCGACACGTTTAGTAAAGATATTGGTTTCGAAAGCATCCAATTGATTATCCTGCAGGTACCGTTGGGCATTTGTCCCGGAGGTGGACGTGAGCCGCTACAGTGGTCCAGAAAATGCGCTGATTGAGGGTGAACAGGAATGCACGCCACATGTTGTCAGAGTGCTGGAGGGAATACAGCAACACTATGGGGTGAGTTACAGAGCTGCTCTTTCATCAGCACCTGATTGGATCTGATCACAAAACATTTGTGTGAATAAAGTGGAGACTACAATAAATTCAGCATCTGACTATGTCAAATGACGTCTCAACATAAGATTTTTAGGTCTGTTACTTCCACTGCAATTGTATAAATCATCAAATATCTATGTGTTGTTTGGCAGATTTGGAAGCATAGTCGCAAATCATAAGAGTAATTTACTCCAGGAGATGCCTGGAGAAAATAACCTTTTCACATTTTCCTCAGTTACAGTCACAAACTTCAATTCGTTTTATTTTGAAGACCAACATAAAGAGTTCTGTAGAGATCCACAACTCATCTGGCGAACTCTTATCAACCCACCAATAAATAGTCGAGAATTTCACAAATGGGAGAATGGAAAATAAAAAACCTCTTTTGAAAGAAATCCATAAGAGATTTCATCAAAAGTTTGATATTAGCTTCATATGGGACACAGCAAACATGTTGATTACATGAGACCAGTTTGAACTGTTTGGTCTACATGCAAAGAGGCAGAAAACGATGAAAATCATCCCCAGAATGAAATCAACATCATTCTGTGGGGATGTTGTTTTTTTTTTTTGTTTTTTTTTTTTGTTTTTTTTTTTTAATGGAGCTAAATAAAAATAAATTCTAGAAGAAAACCTGTTGAAGGTCAGGATTCGAGTGGAAGTTCACCTTCCAGCAACACAACAACCAATACAGTCAGAGCTACAGCATATAGTGGTCTAATCAAAGTCCATCTAAATCCAAATGAGAATGTGTGGCTAGACTTGCTGTTGGCAGCTTCACTTAATCCAGTGGGACTGAGCTTGAGTTTAGAAACAAGACTTTCATCTGCAAATGCATGGAAATGTGGTTTTACAAAGTAGTGACTCAGAGAGACAGAATTTGCATGACACATTTTTTCAGGATGATTTTTTGTTTGTTTCACATTAAAATCCAGGTTGTATTTTCTTTTTCCAAATATGCTAGCCTGTTGTGGTAAGAAGTAAGAACATGATGAATGTATGTGGATATTTTTGCGAGGTACTGTACTTCAGAGTGGACTTCATACTCATACTGTTTGCCAATAAAGTTATATTTATTGCTTGTGTTGTTGAGGGAAAAAAACATGAAGTCGAGCTTTGAAATGACACAAATCTCTCTGTGTCCTGTTTTTCCAGGCACTGAATGGACTGACTGAGGAGTCCTCCACGGATAACTTGGAGTTCCCCCTCCTCACTCAGAGCTCCCTGAACTCCATCACCCAGCTGCTGCCTTTCCTTCGCACCCTTTGCTGCTCCTTCCAGGCCCCTCCCCCCTCTGGCCAGCCTGCTGCCCACTTCCCCATAGCCGAATACCCTGCAGCCAGTTCGCACATCGTTCTGAGCAGACTGGAGGACATCATTGAGAATGAGTTCCTGGACTTCATGGAGAGTTAAAAACTAAGGTTTCATAGATGCGGGCATATAAAAGAAGACCTAGAATGGGCACAACCAGTGATTGTGTTGTATTGTGGAGTTGTAGTGAAGGAATGGTTTTGAAAATGTGCTTTTCCTTTATGTAGTCATCTTTCTGATTACATCTGTACATGTACTTCTGAACTGCTTTAACTAGAAAAGAAACAAAGGGAATCCATGGTACTCATTTCCACGTGGCTTTTAATGTGAAAAAAATATGAAGGAATGCAGTTTTCTTTCCGTCCAAACTTGAGGTATTAACGCCGCTAAAAGTCATTAACTTACTGCTTTTAGCGTCAGTAAAAGCAGACAGGAATTCTCGATTCAGGTTACTTATTGTCTAAGCAAGGCATGCACCTTTTGGCCGTGGTAGTTGAGTCAATAGATTTTCGTGAAGCACATTGAAAACATACTGTGAAGAACTGCGTTAGGCACCACTTGTGTTTTATTTTCCTGAACTAGCCATCTGCACTTTGTTTCTTCAGTTGTAACAATCTATCTTAAGAATGTATAAACTCTTATAGATTTGTCTTAATTTATGCTAACATTTTTATTAGTAACGTAAAAAATGTGCTTTGCGCGCTTTGGGAAAACTCTTAAAACAATGGCTGTGCGTTGACATATTACATGCTTTGAGTTTTTGGTGACCAAGTGAAATGATCCTTTCCTAGTTTTTTCTCCAGCATAGTTTTGACAGCTACTACTGTCTGTATTTTCCTGCACATCTGAATGTTCCTGTAAGTTATTTGTTTTTAAAGGACCACATTAAATTTTGATGCAATAGGGGGGAAAAAAACAAGTCATTAAATTAAACATAGCATTTAACTTTTGTTTTATTTGTTCTTAGTTTTATTGCACTCCCACCAGTTTATAAACCAATATTTTGTTTTTATGTTGTGCTTTTAAGACATTTTGTGGGTTTAAGCCAAATTTCAAAACTGATATTGGCTCAAGCTATTTCACTTCACTAAAATATATTGGAAAAGAGAAATCAATCTCAAATGTAATTAGTAAATTATCTTTAAATCTGATGTGAATTGTTTTTATTTCCATTGACCTTCAACTACTATGCACTGAAAAATCAGTTTTAAGAATTTTCTCTTATTGTGACTCATTTCAGTGAAAGACAAGGACATGTTGCTCAAGTCTAAGTGAAAACCCACCAGAAACTGTTCCTTGAATAAAAGGATTAATTTATTATTCATCTATAATATGTACTTTCACATATTTAGTGATGAAACAAATGACCAATGCCAAACTAACAAAGGCAAACCATAGAAAAAGGATAAGAAGAAAGTAACTGCAGTTGTTAAAAATGTCATTGTCCAAAGAAATGTGCAACTAAGCATGGAGACGGTAACAAAAATTTACCTAACTACCATAAACTATTTACAAGAAGTAAATAGTTTTATTTACTTCTTGTAAATAGTCATTTTAAATTACATCAGACTACAAAATCCTGAGTTTTATGTCTGCATTGTGAGACGTCCTCACTTGTGATGAGGCCGACTGGCAAAGTCACCAGAGAACATCTTAAGATGGCTGCCTGGGGAATTGATGGAGAAGTTTGCAGTGCAGAGAGTGAAGAAGAACAGTGCCAGCACACTTTCTGCAGGGCCATGTTGCTGACCAGCCTGTCAGAGACAGGGCCTTGTCAGTGACCAGTGAGTCTCCAGCTTGTCCCTCATAAGCATTGACCGGATGGCATGAAATCCAAGAACATGATCCTCGCAGTGCTTCCAGGCTTCTCCAGGTGGGTCAGAGCTCAGTGCAGGAGGTAGGCGATGGCAGCATGATCGACTGGCAGGCAAACTGCAGTGGATCAAACGCAGACCTCACCACGTGGTGTCGGTGGTTGAGGACTCCCTCGTAGGTCGTCATCAGAAGTGAAGTCAGGGCCACATGCCTGCAGAGTCTGAGGTCCTTTGAATGTGTGTGGTCTTTGGTACCACACAGGAAGTCTCCCACAGCTTGAGGCTCAGGTTGAATAGATTTCTCTGGACCTGCAGCCGTTTGCATTTCGATATTTTGCAGCAGCTGAAGTGTTGAAGTAGGAAGGGTGACCCACTTCATCCCACAGTAACTGGGATGAAGTGGGTCATCCCAGTTACTGTGAAAAAGCATATGTTGGGGTGTGGCCAGACCATTTCTTTGCTCCATCTCTGACAAAACTTAATCATAATCTTTGAGAAAATACATTTGTCTGGATAACATTTTATGTAAGATAGCCCTTCCAAAGTGGTGGCTTAATCATAGTTATCAGCTCATGAAGTTTATAATAAAGACAATTCAGAAAAAAATCATTATTAGTCCATTGATGACAGGAAGTTGTTATCGGTGCTTAGATGGGAGAATACATTAACCACATAAGTGACACTTTTATCAAGAAAAAAAGTAATTATCTACTATCTGTTATTTATTTGTTTTAATCGATTCACTTTTATTCTTTGAAATACCAAACCGGAAGTGATTGAACAGGCTTGGATCCTGAGAAACATTTCAGTGAATTTAACCGTATGAATCAAACTCTAACAAGTTAACAACACAGACAATATAGTTATTCATCCATTCTACAGTTGCTCAGGATGCTCCCTGTATGTGCTCAGGGATTTTGTTTTTTTTCTACCGGAACTGCTGATGTCATGAGGCTAAGCTCCGCCCACAGTCGCCTGCTCCCGCAAAGATGGCGGCACAAACAGACCGCGGCGTGCCTATCAGTACGGTGAGCAGACTTTATCTCCTTGTTTATCGAACTTTGGGTCACATTTCTCATGTTCGGGTTGAACGACTTTGCGCGTGATGACATTGCGCTCGTGTCGTGTGCGCAAGAATATGATTTATGCCAGTATATTAACAATTAAGCCTGCTGTGGTCAGTGCAGGGTCCTGCCTAGTTTGTGGCTAGTTGGTTACTAATGAGGAATTCCTGTTTTTAAAAACAGGGAACCGATAAGCGGTTCGTCTGAGTCGGAAATATTTTTAGGCTGTTGGGAAAAATTTAAAGTCCCCGTGTTATGATACGGAGAGTTTCGGTTTCCTGATATGTCTCCTCTTATTTCTCTGGAGCTGCACAATGATGACCGCCAATGGGGCCTGAAGGGAGCACGGGGTCACCACTCTGCTGCTAAATTACAATTACTATCACAAAAACCAGATTATCACTCTTTGGACCTGTGTGTGTGTGTGTGTACTTGTTTTGCTTGTTTTGCAAGCAAAACGGCTTGTTTTGCATATTCCTTCGCATCGTGGTTTCTACACATTGCTTCAGGTATTTTATTTGTCTGGGTATGTGGATATTCCCTGTTAAATTTCCCTGCTTTCCCTTCTATGCATCTTTCTCTTCATTAATATCTGAACCACCCATCTATCTGTCCTTTAATACACACATGTTACTACATCTGATATTTGCAGTTCCACTTCTTCAAACCCAAAACATGACTGTCTGTTTTAAATGTATTTTTATTCATGGAACTATTGAATCATTTTTGATGTCTTTTAATGCCATTAGTTTAAATATTTCGTCGATAATATTTATTTTCACTTATCTACATTTGCTTTGTGAAATCATAATATTTGACTAAATCTCCAAGTTATTCTTTACAGGTATAATGTACTAAAATCAAATTGTTGAGCTTTTCTGATTTGGTTAAGAAGAAGAAAAGCGTTTTCATCTCTGTAGCCTAATAATATGGCTATGTTTATCATCCATAATAGAACGGGCACGCTCAGTTGATAAGCAGTTTGAAATGATAAATAAATATCATTGAAATTGCAATTGGAAAAAAAATAGGCTCAAACTAAGAATTGAAAGAATTTCTTGTCAGTTTGAAAAAAAAACTTAAATTCACTTCAGTTTTTCTTCTTAGACTTTTTAATAGTTGAATTCTTTTTTGTCACTTTCAGATTTTATGTTTTCAGTCTCAAATTTGTTTTTCCAACATTCAATTTCAACCTGCGATTAAAAATAGTGACAATTTCTCTAATATTTATGTCCAGTATATGTATAGGGATGTTAAATTATCTGGTTTGAAACTAAAAAACTTTTATGTAACATAATAAAACCCAGCTCAAAAGATTGTCAAATGCTCAGATGTTTGTTTCACTTTCAGCTTTCGCCAAAGTTTCTGCACACCAACTCCACCAGCCACACCTGGCCCTTCAGCGCTATCGCTGAACTCATAGGTGAGTCATTCAGATCATCTAATTACCACCAGAGTGTTTTCTGTTTGCACAGTGAATTGTTTTTATTTTTAATTTTATAGATCATTCGTTAGTTACGTAAACAATACAGTAACCACCTGCAAGCATATTACTCCATGCATACTTCTTGAGTTTTCTCATTTTTTTTTATCAAAACAAGACCCATATTGCAGCCACAGCCCGTAATTAAGATTATTAAACAACCCCCATCTGACTAACAGTTTCATCCTGTCTGTTACTTGGAGCATCTGATTGAAACATCCTTTCATCCGGCTATTTGAAATGTTCCTAAGCCCCCTAAAATTTGTTTTAATTAAATTAAAATATAAAATATTTTGATTAGATTTTCTTCTCTAAGATGGTTTTAGAGGTTATGTTCCTCCTTCGTCGGTATAGAGTGCAGTCTTCGGGTTGCTAGATGCGAACAGATCCTCCAAAATTGTAGCTGATCTAGATAAAATATTGTAACTTGTTTTTCAGTTTTCTTGAATTGTCGTGGCAGCTGACAACACAAGTCAAACACAAATCATGTTCAAACTGGTAGAGCTGCCAATTAAACAGATTTTGTTATTAAAAGAGTGACTGTTGTTAACTCCAGCTTTGAGTACCCAGAAGTATAAAACCAGACACTAGAAGTAGCAGTCTTGTTAAAAAAGCCAATGGATAGTTGGGAATTGTAATTTATTTTGTTTTCTGAGAATATAGTTTAAAATCCTTCCCCAAATGAGATCCATTGCTCCTGTCAGATTTATTCTACTTTAAATAAAGTTTTCACTTTCTGATGTTTCTGTTTCTTGACAGATAATGCCTATGACCCAGATGTTAGCGCCAAGCGGTTCTGGATTGATAAAACTATGGTTAAAGGAGAGGTGTGCCTCAGCTTCATGGATAACGGAAACGGCCTCAACCTTGAAACTATCCACAAAATGCTTAGGTACAAATTCCACAGATGTTTCTGTAGACTTTTAAAAACATTAAAAACCAAAAATTATTTTTATATGTTCGATTTTAATACATAATCATTTTGTGCAACCTATCTCCAGGGTTTTGGTGTCTTTTTTTACTCTGTTTTCAAGCAATGTTCCATTTTCAAGCCTTTTTGCCCTAAGCTGTTGACAATTCATTTATGAAAGGATGTTTGGTCAGGGAAAGAAAAAATTATTTTAGAGGTGCTAAAGAAAACCCTCTCAAATTATGGAAAATAGGCATGTCTTGATGTATAGGAACCTCATATGTAATGCAGAATTTTTATTTATTTAATTTAAGAAGTTAAACCATCTTAATGCATTGCTTTCAGAGTATATTATAATACAAAAATTATGATGTTCTCCATTCATTTTGTATTTCTTTGTTTCAGCTTTGGTTACAGCGACAAGATAGCAGTAAACGGACTGGAACCCATTGGTATCTATGGTAATGGCTTCAAGTCCGGATCCATGCGTCTCGGCAAAGATGCGATTGTCTTCTCCAAGTCAAAGAGCATGTCATGCATTGGGATGCTTTCTCAAACCTACCTGGAGAAGATTGGAGCTGAGCAAATAATTATTCCTATTATTTCCTTTGAAAATAAGAAATCGCAGAGAAATATCCTTTAACCAAGGAGCACAAATGTGATCAGTGAACATGTTAAAAGTTGTTTCCCGAAATGTTTTGAGGAATGTTTTGTCATCAGTTTTCCTTAACTGTGGCTTTACTCTCTGTAAGCAAAGAGCAAGAAGCAAGTCTGAGGGACATCCTGCAATACTCCCTTTTTAAGTCTCATGAGGAACTTCTCGCTGAGATCGATGCCATCACTTCAACCTTGTCCTCAGCTAAGACAGGCACCCGGATCATCATCTGGAATCTCCGCAGGTCTGTTTGTAGACCACCAACTTGTAGAGCTTCATGCAATGATTTGTAGGTTCCTGCAGGTGCTCCACATAAATCTTCATCTGCAATTTTTAATGAGATCACCGGTAACTAAATGCTCCTTTCAGATAACGTTTCCCTGGTCATCACTCAATCAGAAACCCCCATCTAAAATTCACTTTTATCTTTCAAATCATACATTTCAGCTCTTGCATTAAACACATGCTGGGTTATATGTCTTCACTGAACTCTTTTAGTCCTTATGCATGTTGCCAAATCCATTCAGTTCTTCAAATACAAACAGTTCCCAAATCAGAACATGGTTGATATTCAGTTCAAAACATATATTTCTGGACAACATTTTGGGCATTGCGTTGAATGAAGCCACAGTGTCACTTAGTGATCAACAGAGGACAGAAGAGCATTATTTCAGTGAGGAATTCACTTCTTGTACTTGGTTTCGCTCAGAGGGCGCTGTGTAATATTTCACTTGAGCGCTGCTCTTGGATTGCCTGTATCTAGTTTGTAATGAGGAACTATTGTCATTCATTGCATCATTGTCTTCTGTTTTAGGACATCTTCCGGATCAACAGAGTTTGATTTTGACACGGATCGATATGACATCCGCATTCCCTCAGAGGTTTACGAAGAATTAAGGGATCCATCTCAGCCTTTGAACAGGAGTACATCTTATATTCCTGAGAGTGTGTTTTCACTGCGGGTAAGAAGCAGTAAAAGGCAGTGCATCAATTTATTTTCATGAAATGCTTTTTTTTTTTTAACACTTAATGCTTTTTGCCTTCTCAAAAAGCATGAAATGTTGACTGCATTCATATTAACAACTTACCCAAGTTCTTGGTGTTCACCAGAGGCTTCTTACTGTTTCTTTCTTTTTGTCCTGATAATTACTTTTTTGATGTTAAACTTTGATTCATTTTGTGTTTCTGTGTTGTAGGCGTACTGTAGCATTCTATACCTGAAGCCACGCATGCAGGTCATAGTGCGGGGTCAAAAGGTGAAGTCTCAGCTCATCGCTAAGAGCCTGGCCTACATCAGAAAGGACCACTACAGGCCCACTTTTCTGGTATCTCTTTAATAGAGATTTGACAGCAGTTTAGAAGTGTCATTTTTATCTTAGGTTTCCTGAAATTTTTTTTTCCCTCCCCTTTTTGTGTCACTGTAGGACAAACACATACGTATTACTTTTGGGTACAACACCAAAAGTAAAGACCAGTATGGTATCATGATGTATCACAAGAACAGGCTCATCAAAGCTTATGAACGTGTGGGCTGCCAGCTTAAGGTGGGTTTTGTTTTTGGCCTTCATTTCATTGAAAACTGAAACCGAACTATTCTTTGTTTAAGACAGTCAAAATTTAAAAAAAGTTTTATTTGACAGTTTCTAATAAAAAGTGCTAGATTTTTAAAGACTCTTGCCATATAACTGCCCTATGATGCTGTGACATCAAATGAGAAGTTACATGACCTCCGCAAACCTGGCTGCTCTATTTTCCATAAGTATAAAAGTGTCACGTTCCTTTGTTTGAACAATTTATGTAAGTATAAATCACCATGGAATGATCATCCATCTTATTATTCAGGAAGATTGTGGGTTTGTTTGTGAAGAGAGCAACATTTTTAAATGCATATATTAACAACCAAAGAGTTTAAATTTTGGAGACCAGTCCATTGGTCTGATGAAACTAAAATTTAAATCTGTGCCCATTGGGATCGTTGTTAGACCACCATCCCAACAGTCAAATATGAAGCTGCAGCATCATGTTGCCACCTCTGTAACACGATGCTGTTGAAGGGAATGATGTAGACAAAGTGCATTGCATCATGAGAAAAAAAACATAAATTCAAAGTCTTCCAAATGGAATATGATCCTAAGCCTCAAGGACAAAAAAGTCAATGTTTAGGGATGGGCATCACAGCCTCTAGAAAATCTAAGCAGATCTGATGAGACTTGTCCAAGGGAAATAATACAACCCTGACTCGCTAACAGCAGTTCTGTTAAATCCCACATGTCCCATGTTAAAGCCTCCCATATGTCCCATGTTAAATCCACCTATTTATCCCACATTAAATCCACCACTATGTCCCATGATAAATCCTCCTGTTTGTCCCATGTTTTGAAATGGGCCAAAACTCCAGAAAATTACTGTTGAGTGTGGTAGGAAATCCAAAACATCAGGCCCAAGTCACAGTTCAAAGGCAAAGCTACCAAACTCAAAGGAAATGTGCAAAAATCTGGATTTGAAGTTAAAAACATTTTTCCAGCAGTGATTAAAAGCAAGAAATCTAATTTATAGACAGGCAATAAGTAAAAAAAGGCCACATGTTTGTTTACGCTGTTTACAAAGAATATGTAAATATCTGGGTCAAACTGTGTTTGAATCTTTTAAATCCTTTCGTTGGACAGGCCAACAGGAGAGGTGTTGGAGTCATTGGGGTCATTGAATGCAACTTTCTGGATCCGACCCACAACAAGCAGAGCTTCAACGAGACTGACAAGTACAGGTAATTTCATCAACGATGCACTCAAGATTATTATAAACTTGAGTTACTAATTTATTTGGTATTCTTGAATTCTCTAAAATATGTGGGTTTATTTTTTGGATTTGAACAGAAAAACCATTAACAGTTTGGGGATTAAACTGGAGGAGTACTGGAACGAGATCCGTTACAGAAACTCTAAAGAAGACCCAAACAGCACCGTGCCAGTGGAAGATACCAAGTTTGTACACAGTCAAGAAAGAGATGTGAAATATTGCAATTTGTATTAGTTTAAATAATGTGAGTCTTTAGGAAGCGACCGGATCAGAACTGGGTGCAGTGCGATGGCTGTTTGCGGTGGCGTAAACTCCCAGATGGGATCGACGTCAACAAGCTGCCGGAAAAGTGGTTCTGCTCATTAAACCCCGATCCACAGTTCAGGTAACAGAGCTTTTTTCGGATAATTTTAAATGAAAGCATAGAAATAAACCAAATGATCTAAATTCTTCATTTGTTTTCATATTTACTGCTATAATCAAACACTCCTGATGAAAATACTCCAGGTTTTTCCTGTGCTAAAACAAAGTGTTGGCAGCAGCGTTCGTTTAAGACAATTTGGCAACGAAGGCATAGAGGCTGGTCAAGAATGATAGCCGATCCGTAATACCTGCCTGTTTTGGAATTATTCTCGAATATTTGTTGTTTAATTCAACATTGTTGCACAACGAGTTTCATCAATTATTTTTATCATCTTAAACTCTAATCTAAATACTCTTTGTATGTTTACTGTGTAGGAGCTGCAAGGTAGAAGAAGAGCCTGAGGATTCTGGTGACGATCAGCCATACCGGAAAACCTACAAGCAACAGTCAGTAAATATAGTTTGAACATTATGCTGCAAAATCCCAGGGTTTTCAATGGGGAAAATAAATGTTTGATATGCAACAGGTTTATCAAGTTTATCCACTTTCAAAGAGTGCAGAGGTCTGCAGTTGTCATCATAGGTTCAGCTCAACTGTAAGAGACGGCATCTTAAAAAAAAAAAAATCCAGAAAGTCACGTTTGTGATTGTGATCAGAAATTGTTCTGGCTCTCATGGAACCATTGCATCATCCACTCATTACTTGTATTAATTGCACCTGTTTGAACTCCTTGCCTGTATAAAAGACACCTATCCATTCTGAATCACTTAGTAGGAAGACTGAAGATGGTTTATGGTCCGAAACAGGCCAGCCGATCGTCAGGCCTGTTTTTAAGATTTTTGGAAGCAGCTGAAGACCAGATCACTTTTATTATGTCCTGATGCATAAAAACTATAGAACTGAAAGTGGGTGTACATTGTTTCTCCCATGCCGGTTCATAATATCATCTGTAATGTGAACATGTTGAACACCAGCAGCATGAGTTTATTTTTGTCTTCGTCTTATTTGTAACAGAGAGAGGGATTACAGAAAGAGACTTGAACATGTAAGTTTTCTTTAAATAAAATATTTTCTCACCGGTTTAGCAGTGTGTTTACCATTGATTCCTATTCTCTCCCAGGATGAAGAACAGCACTATTTGGATTTGGACACCTTGAATAGACAGACCAAAGCTTTCACACGGCAGCACAATAATCTTACCCGGCAGCTTCACCAAGCGGTGCGTAATTTAATAACGCTTAAGTTATGGTTTGTAATTTTGACTATGCATTTGAAACATTCTTTGAATTTAGATGTCCTACTCTTGTGTTCAACTTTAAACATTTAGGAAGTTGAGGGACAGACATAAGTGGCGTTCTATTTTTGTGGTTTTAACACTGACATGTAGTTTTTTTACTTATATTTATTCACAAATATAAGTCTCAACTGAATAGGATATGTTAAATTTATTAGAGACCCAGTGGGGAAATTGACATTTCAGGACAGCCCATCAAAAAGAAAAAAAAAACAAACATCATAAGACATGGGTAGACAGGTGTCTGAGGCTCCCCTTTCATTTGATGAGGAAAAAAGGAACACTACGAAAGAGGAGGGAAAAAATGATATCACATAATGTGTCCCTGGCAGGACATAGTGAGAGATTGCCAAAAAAAAAAAAAAACACACCTTTGCACAAAAATGGCGACTTGCAGGCAGGCAGGGATGCTGAGGGAAGCGTGTCAGCCGGACTCAGCAGAGCACTGATTCTGGTCCGCACATGTCATGTGGGAAAGGGAGCCGGTTAGTGGGAGCAGAGCATCTTGTTTGCATAACATGCAGGAGAAGTTGAGAAAGCCAGATAAAAATGGATTTGGTATCAGTCCGACTCCATTGTTTTTCAGCGTTAGACTGAGGATCAGTAATAAATATTTAAAGCTTCAAAAAAAAATAAAAAATAGAGGGGGGGAAAAGCTATTATTGGAGATTATAGCTTTGATTATAGATGTTCTCAGCTTGACTAAGAGCCGACTACTTTGTTGGTCATGAACCAAAATATTAATGTTTATATATAATATATATTTTCAAGTCGTAACTTAATGTCAGATTCTCTTCTGACAGAGATACAAAACTGTCATTAATTTAACAAAAAACGAGGCTTCAGAAAATCATTGATTTTAAAAATATTGCAATGTTCTCTCAGCAGACTGCTAATTACTCAAAGAGTAACTTGGTACACAAAGGTGCAGGCGGGACTGAACCCACCCTGCGGAGGTCCTCAAACATTTCACAAGTTGGTAAGGACATGATTTCTTCTGTAGATTAGCAAAAAGCAAACTAACAAAAAGAAAGACGTTTGAGGTGAACTTGTTTTCTATCGTCTGTAGCCGGCAGCAGCGACTCTCCTCTTGTGATCACCAACGTCTGCTCGCTCTCAGCACCATCAACAACCCTGAGGTACAAGGCCCTGAAAATGTATTCACTCACATTTTTGTGATATCCACAACTACAAACTGTATTTTTTTTGGGAGGAGGGTGTTTGTAATCGGCATTTTACATAATAAACCAACATATTGTAGTTCAACTAATGAAGTACAAGTCAGCATGTCACATTTTAAGAGTGTTTTTATTTTTAAAACCATCTGTTGTTTTTCTTCAATTTCACAATTATGCTCTACTTTGTGTTGGGCTATAATAGAAAGTCGCTTAAATAAGGTGAAATTAACAAAACTTCTAAAAGGTAGAGGGTTGTGAACACGTTTGAAAGACTCTGTGATTGTATCACAGTAATGAATGGTCATGAATACTTGCTTGGTTTTGCTCTGCAGGGGGAAAAGAACCCAGATTGCCACTCCACACAGCACGCCAAAACGACTTAGAGTGAACGGATACAACCCCGAATCCTTCCACGTTGACAGCAGTGACACCGATGATACCGATGATGACATTGTCATCTTGGAAACTGAAAGTACGCCCAAGCCCAAACAGCCCGTTGGTATTTTAAGGGCAGTAAAGCAAGAGAAAGAGGAGAGTGAAAATCAAATCTCGATGGTGCTAGAGTGCGCCGACGACGCTGCTGTGGACGTGACCTCCAAGGCGACGGCCAAAGCAAAAACTTCCACCGCCAAAACCTGCCCACCTCCAGCAGTGGCCAACATCACCACCCAGACCACCGCTTTTCAAGTGAAGGAAGAACAGCAGAGTCAGAATCAGACTGACGGGAACGGCAAAACGGCTATTAGGAACGGGTCAAATCCAGGTCTTCTCATTGAAAGAGAAATTAAGCTGGAGCGCAGTGACGGGGTTCAGAAACAAGAAATGTGCAATGGAGTGGCGCATATGGAACGTGATGAAGGTGCTGGTCCTTCTTCTTCTGCTCAGCAGTACCTCAATATCGATGAAGTTCAGAATCAACAAGATAAGCTCCTGGAGCTGATGCAGGAAACGGCCCAGGAGAGAGACGCCTTGAAAGAGCAACTGAAACTTCTCACCTCTCAGCTGGAGGACATGCAGAGCCGACTGCAGAAACAGTCTCAGGCCAAAGTAAAGGAGTCATCGCACCAAGCCTGCCAGACTGACACTCAGACGGACTACAAGGGCCTTTTTGAGAGAGCCAAACAGAAAATCAATGATTTAATAAAGGACAAAGAGGCTTTATTGGCAGGTAATGAGGACAAGAGAAATCCAAACTGTGGCCAAGATGAGGAAAATGACATTGAGGAGATTTCGCTTAAAGTCAGCCGTCTGGTCCATGAACTAGACGAGAGGAACAAGGAAAGGGAAGAACTGCGCTCGCAGGTCAGTATGCCATCCAAAATATTCTCTTTCCATTATGCATATAATTTTAACTCCTTATAAAGCCATGAGAGAAGAGCTGACATAGCAATCAGTGTCAAAACTCTTTAGCCATTTTTTTAGGAAGGTGACATATTGAAAATGAACAACCAGACTGTACAAACATGTACATGTATTTCAGTAATTCAGTTCAAAAAATGAAACTTGTAGAGATGCTCTATGCACAGTGGGATATAGTTTATGAGAGTATTTCTGATCAGATGAATTATGGATGACAGAAAATCCAAAGTTAACTTTTCATAAGAGGTAGATTGATAAAGACGCATCATGTTATGACCCACACTAGTAATTCAGTTCAGGAACATCAGATCTGATGTTAGGACAAAAAGGACTGAACTGTTGTTCTGAGATGCAAATGAAAAGTCACAACTGAAAATGTAACTTTAATTTACTTTGAAATCAAGATAATAGAATCCGGGAGATTGGGGACAACAGAATAGCAGTTGCTTAAATTTTTAATTTATTTCTGTTTTTGCTCAATAAGTCGGAACAGAAAATATCTGAAATCACTTAATTTATAGAACTGAAACATTTATTTCATAGTTTAGATATTTTATTTGTACATTTTTTTCATCTTTGTTTTCCTGATGTGAATTCTCAATTTTTCTGACAGCTGGATAATCTGGAGGAGGAGAAGTCGACTTTGGCAGCCCAGTGTGAGGAGCTCAAGTTGAGAATGCAGCAGGAAAAAGAAAATGCTCGATCTTCAGCAGGGGCCCACTCCTCTGGCTCAAACTCAGACGCCTCCAGTTGGTAGGGCTGCAGAAAACTCACTAATGTGTTTCTATGAAACCATCAGGACAGGAATGTTAATCTTTCTGGTTCATGTTTTTCCTCTGTTCCTCTGTCTGGCTGCGTTTTCAGCTTGATCGAGCTCCGTCAGAACGTCGGCCGCCTCCTCGTCTCCCGGGTCCCGGCACTGGACCTGGCGCAGGTGAATTTCCAATGCAACGTCATCGATGAGATCCTCGAGCAAGTTCTCACAGGCACAGACTTCGAATTCGCAGGCTGAAATGCTGCGCTCAGCTTGGAAAATCATCTCCACTGAATTAAGGTCTTCCTGCTGACTCTCAGATCTGGAAAAGGTCCAAGCCTGACCAGTTTCCAAAATGGATTGTAAACTTTTGGACTTCTGAAGAACATTTTCAGTCAAATGAATGTCTGGGGTTTATTTATTTAAAGATGTTCACATTTTTAGTGCGTCTCAGTTGGAGACCTGTTTGAAAGAATATCAATGAGATGTTTGTTCTGATGAATTGTTCCTAAATTCTGAAAGGCCGCCTCCTGTCCATCCTCAGTTACTTTTTTTTAAATTTTTCCTGTTTCATGGTCTGACTTGTGTAAAATCTGGGCATTCCTGGTTACCAGCTTTATACAAGTCCTTCCAGATTCTCCTGCTTAAGCTTGCAAAATCAGGTAACCTATCTCATGTGAGGATGAGGTTGAAGATGTCAGGAATGACATCATAAATTAAGTAAATTAAGTTTTTACTTAATTTTAGCATCTTATAAATAAATGAATTAGTTTTTTTTTGTGTGTTGTTTTTTTTTACGTTTTTGAGTTACTTAAAAATGATAATTTGAGTTAAAGTATTTTATTATGTTTAGTTTTTCTTACCTGACTAAATGTCACCAATTCCTTTTTGTTTGTGTTCCTAACATGTATATAATGTTAAATCTATTTTTATACACACTATGTTCTGTGTAAGTCATTTGTACTCTAGTTTGGACAGACATTGTGTAGTTCCAGCAATAACCCTTGCAGTACATTTCTGGATTTTGCAAACCGAACTTTAGCTTCACATTTCTATGGTGGATCTAGTTCAAACTGCAGCCAAGAGCAACGGCAGACTGAAACTGAATGTCGTTTATTGCAAGTAAAGAGATTTTAAAAGCATAATTCCTGGTAACATTTTTTCTCTGGTTTCCTCAGGTGCATTTCAGCAAGCAAGAATATTGTAAAGTTTGTTTTAGTAATTTCAGCCTAAAAGGAAAACTTATATGGAGTCATTGTATGCCACTTATTTTTTCGAGTTGCAAGAAAAACATCTAGATCAAATATTGGATCATACACATTAAATAAAAAAAGGTTCTGTTGAAAGATTGAAACTCATGTTTCTGACTCTACATTTAGAGGAGTTTATTTCAAGAGATCGTTTCAAGTAATTTCGACTTAGTTACTGAGAGCCGCACATCAGGGTTCTTGGAAAATGATTTCTTTATTTGAATACCAAAATAGTAAAGGGACAGATTGCGTTATGGTCTACATGCCATGGAGAATACTAAGATTTAATAGATAACCAGCAGTCATTGTCACAAAAAGGTTATTCTGGTTAATAAGCTGGCTGTTTCATAGAGTGCAGCAAACAAACATATTGATGGAAAGTTAAGTGGAAGAACAAAGTGTGGACAACAGAAATATCCTCCCACAAGGATGTGAACCAGTGACAGTAAGAGCATCACAAGAGCAGGTACAGAATCCAAGCTGCTTGAGGTTAACTGGAAAGTTTCCACAGTTGAGCCATGTCATCTGCTGGTAAAGGTCTGTGTTTCAAGTCCAAAGTCAAGTAAGGACAAGGATGTTAAGTAGTGCGATTATACCGCTAAGCATCTCACATGAATGCTTTTCTTTATCTTCCTAATCAGACATTGAATAATGGTAAGATAAAAATAGCCCCTCGTCCTTCAGCGTTCCTTGTTACGGTTCCACTCGTTTGAACCGTTCATTCATTCCTCTGACAGCTGGTATGAACACGAACAGAAGTTGAGCAATCTCCAGATTTGCAAACAACAGTGTTTTGTCTTGTCTTTCCAATTTTGAAGAATACCGCTGTTTGAAGCCAACTAGGAATTCTCAAGTGGATAAAAAATACGCAATGTGTTGTTGAAAATAACAAACACACCACGTCACGCAGACATGAGACCCACAGAGCAGGTGTAAACAGTTCAGTGCAATGCTGTAAGTGAAACAGACCAAAAGCACTTCTCTGAAATGGCTGTATTTACTTTTTTCTTAAAAAGACATCCAATTTTCTCCTGGAGCTCAGCAGTATAAACGATGGATTAAAAAATAAAAAAAAGAAAAACAGGTGCGGATGCACAGTTTTGAGTTCATCACAACTGTTCTCCAATTGTGATGAACTCACTTTGTCAGTTTGAGGGAAATTTAGAGTAAAATACTCTTTGAATGTTCAGCCAAGGCCAACAAATGTCAAGCCATGTTTGTTTGAAACAGTAAGTAGACTGGATCTGTCTTTTGGCATATCTTCAACAGCCTCAAAAATGTTCTTCATCTGTCGAAACTGAAAATTCTTTTTTTTTTTCTTCATCTCCTCATCCGATGAGAAAAAAGGTTGCACGAGGAGGGTATACTCCTTAACAACCTGCCCTTTACGCTAAAACTCCACCTTCCCCTCTTCATCTCCACCCCACCCGTGTCATCCACCGGCGCACTGTTAAGGAATAGACCCGTTGACAAACGTCTGCGAACTAACTCCGCCCCTTCCACTCTTTCGTCCAATCAGTCCCGTATGCTTGGCCGGAAGTTTTGAGCGAAACGTACGCGGGAAATTGTTAATATTTTTTGCTGCTGAACGACAGAAGAGGTAAAGCACACACTTATTATTAAAAGTAATATTAGTTAGTTAACTAATGAGGGGGGAAAGTCGGGTTTATGATGCTATTAGATGCTTTAGAGCATCTAATAACGCGGTAATGTTTGTGGCGACTCGCTTCTGAGTGAAATGCCCAAATAACCCGCTCAGCTTGGTGCTAACAGTAAGAGCTAATCCTAGCATTTGGCTGAAGTATCTGGTAACGGTTTCAAAATATATATTTTGGCCTAATTTATAACACAGGGTCCACCTTCGCTGTTTTTGGACGCGCTACTCATTTGCACTAGATTCAAAGTCATTTCAACTCTCTTGTGTACAAGCCAGTGCTGAACGTGTTTCCTCTTGCAAAGGGGTTAAAAATGAAGGTGGTGACTTGTGAGATCGCCTGGCACAACAAGGAGCCGGTGTACAGTCTGGACTTCCAGCACAACACAGAGGGACGTTTCCATCGCCTGGCCACAGCTGGAGTGGACACCACAGTCAGGGTGAGTGGAGAGGAAACATGCGCTGAACGTTACAATTTAATCAATTCAATCGATTAAAAAGCAGGGGATCAAAACATCTTTAACATGTTTAAAAGTAAATGGCATCCAGAAGCTGACTGTACCAGTGATAAAGACACTTTTTCCTTATGCCTGCCACTCATCTAGATGCATCTAGATGGTGCACTGTGCCGTCCAAAAGTATGCACACCCCTTTAAGTTTTTGACATTACAACAACAAAATTAAAGGTATTTTGAGTGCATATGGGCAGATCTGTCTCTGCTACATGGTTAAAAGGCAGTAAAATATATTAAAAATGTGTAATATTGTGTTTCGTTCTTCAGTTATAAAACACCACTCCCCGGAGTGAACTAAAAAATAAAGAAGATGGTTTTAAGCAATTTTGCCGAATAATTATAAATTGAGAGATTTGAGCCAAAGTGGCATTTAGTCTCATAGCATCAGCAGGCTGGAAAATTCAGAAAAAGAACATTGGATTTTATTATTTTGCAGGTATTTTTTGCAGTTTGTCAAGATGTCGTGCTTTCCTTCTTCTTTGTATCTGCTCTTGCTAATTGCTTTCCTTCTTTCCACCCTCCAAAATCCAAGAAAAATTATCTCCTGTCGCGTCCAGCACACTGCGTCTATGTTATAACTCCTAAATATTTCACTGCATTGCATCAGCTTTGAAAATGGAAAGCTGTGAATGTTCTTGACACATTCACCTCATTTTCCCCAATTGTTTACGCAGCTGTGGCGGGTGGAGCAAGGTCCAGATGGGAAGGCCGTGGTGGAGTTTTTGTCTAACCTGGCCAGACACAGCAAGGCGGTCAATGTGGTTCGCTTTAGCCCTATTGGAGAGCTGCTCGCTTCAGGGGGAGACGGTAAGTCCCGCAAAAATAAAGTTCTTTTTATTTCTGCGTCACTACTTTTGCTTCAGTAAAACATTTAAAACAGAGACATGTCCTTGTCTTGTTTTTTTTCTTGCATACAGATGCAGCTATTCTTCTGTGGAAGCTCAACGACTCCAAGGAGCCGGAACAGGCCACTGTGTTTCAGGATGAAGAAGATGCTCAGCTCAACAAAGAGAGCTGGTCTGTGGTCAAAACACTCAGGTACTTAAGAACAGAAAGTGGACCTGTCTGCTACGTAAAGATGCACATGGTTTTGTTATTGTCTTCTAAAAAAATATTTTTTCTTGATGTCTCCTATGTAATAATTTGATCTGGCCTCAAACGCTCACTGCTGTGGCTTAACTAGGACAGCTTCACACTTACATCTTCCAGCTGTGCAGATCGATGATGATGATGGAGATGCCTATCTGTTGATTGACTGCACCTTTTTTTTTTTTTTTTTGCTCTTATTCACACCTTGTTCCAATAATAAATTAATGTTAATAATTGTATCAAAGCTTGATTTAAACCAACTGTGTTTGATAAAAATTTTCCCAAATTATCTAATGAAACTGTAACGTTTCTGTCTCGTGTTTTGGCCCCAGAGGACATTTAGAGGACGTGTATGACATCTGCTGGACGCGAGACGGAAACTTCATGATTTCTGGATCTGTTGACAACACTGCTATAATGTGGGACATCAGCAAAGGTGTGCAGCCTCAGTTGTGCCTGGTGGAAATATTTAAACGAGCTACATCACATTGATGACTTTTTTTTCCCCCTTGATTTTGCGTTCAGGACAAAAGCTTTGTATGTTGAATGACCACAAGAGCTATGTGCAGGGGGTGACCTGGGATCCACAGGGGCAGTATGTCGCCACACTCAGCTGTGACAGGTAGAACAGGAAGTAATGTTTTTAAGACTACATACACAATGCACACATGTGCAGTAATAATATGGTAACAACCAGACTGATTTTATGTAAGTAATGGATTACTCTTATTTTCTGTTTGTGTGTCAGAGTGATGCGTGTATACAGCACTCACACAAAGAAGAAGGCTTTCTGTATCAGCAAAATGAGCTCTGGGCCTCTTGCTGATGGAGAGGTTTGTAACATGGAGCACATTTTTCACTCCGTTATGAGTTTTTGTCCTTATTTCTTAATAATTCACCTATAGTTATCAATTGGGCTCCTTCACTTTGTGTTGAATTCTGGGAAAATGTGGAAATAGCTTTTAGCATTTCTCAGGTATGAGAAGAAGAAAATGGATTCAGGAAAGATTTTATTCCCGGTTATGTTAGCTAAAGCAGGAGAAGCATAATTAAATTATTCTTTCATCGATTCATATTGAATTTCGATTCTTTAGCTTTGAATTTCTGCATGTTAAATTGAATTTTTGTCAAGCTCAGAATGGTTTGGTTTCATTGGACCTCATGCAAGCCCATTTCTGCTTTTGGAGATACCATTTCTTCACCTCAAATGGTTTAACTACAGCTTGAATTTTAAATTAGCTGTTTAAAAATAAACAAATGTGTTTTATATGTTCCATTTCTTAAAAGTTGTAAGAGAGATCCCAGAGTTAAATCCTTAAATTAAAATTAGCTGATGTTTCAACATTTTTTGTGTGTGGCTTTAAAGCTATTTCTTGTTTTCTTGTCAAACAGAGCACTGGAAGTCTTAAGTATTGTATCTACATTTGGAGAAAAAGAATATTTTTAAATATGCAAATGTGGTTGATTCAGTTGATCACTCATGAAAATAAGGCTTGGATGTTTGGAGATCTTTGAGAGTTCAGCCTGAAAAGTGTTGAAAAGGAAAATGTGCACTGCTGAATTAAACCATCTGTAATCTCCCCTGTGTGTCACTTTGCAGGTGAAGCAGTACAGAATGTTTCACGACGACAGCATGA